GGTCGCTTCCACCAGCCTGGCAGGTGGTGCCAGCCCACTTCTGCAGAGCACTTTTTCTTAGTACCTGCTGTAAAACGGCGAGTTCACTCCACAGAGACGTATGTGTAAACGTTTGCTGCCTGTCAGGGCGGGTCTGGTTGTTGGTGATGTCACTTTAAGACAAACAGCAGGTGCAGCTCCATTGCCAGCCCGGGTGTTTCCGTGGACGAAAGGTCTGAATCGATGAGTCGCGTTCCTGGTTTGCGGCACTTGGGAGGGTGGACCGATGTCTCGGAGAGGGTTTTCGTTTTCGTCGTTGGCGGTTGTTGGGGTGTTTCAGGACCGCGTTTAAGAGAGAAAGAAATCGGCGGAAAAAGTGCACAAGTTGGCTACATCTTTGGATTACTGGGCTCCAGGACGCCCAAGCCAAACCTTTCGAACCGGGGTACAACTTTGCTGCTGTTAATGCTGCGAAGAGGAACAAAAAGAAGGGTTACGGCCACGCTGGTCTCCATTAGAAGTAGGGCGGTGTTAGCTAGGTCAGTGTCAGAAGCTCCGCGGAGGACCCGGCCCCAGCAAGAAGCGAGAGTGACTGCATGCCAACAGCCTCGGCTGAGCTGCTCCTGGCCACACGTGGCCGGGGTGCTAAGACTTGGCCACACACCCTCCCGGGGTGGGGGTGGGGGTGGGGCAGTGGGCTCGTTAGTCTCCGAGTCCTCAGCACCAGTCACTGCCGTGGCCTTGTCCGAACTACTTTCTCACCTGCAGCCCAGCAGAGCTCTGCTCCGAGCACAAGCGGGAGGAGAGAGAAACCTGTCCCCAAGTACCGAGAGGGACATCCCACACTCCTTTCGGACAAGGTCCCCAGGCATCAGAGACCATGTGGGAAGCACGCTGAAATGCAGATTCTCAGGGCCCACCTCCGGAGACCTGGGCTCAGTTGTGGGAGGGACCCCAGGAATGTGAATTTGGTAAGCGGCACAGCGAGTGTGTGTGGCCTCTCAGCCACACTCTTGATGAACGCTGACCTGGGGTCTGGTACTTTCTGTCCGCACTGGGCGGATGTAAAGGGAGTTAACATCGTGGGGACCGGGGGCAAAAGCTTCGTTCTCATCAGTGAAATCGTCTGGCGACAGCCCTCCCCCACCCCCCGCTCTGTTTTAGGACAACTTTCCTAAGCGCGCCGCTGAGGACAAAGCCCTGGCAGGCTAGTGTCTTTCACGGCAACAGGACTTTTGGTGTCCACCACCCCCCGGCCCTCCAGGGGGGCCTGGCCTTCGGCAGCTCTGAAATCCTCCCGCTCCTTGCTGGACAAGATCTCTGCGGCTCAGCAGCCAAGCCAAACCTCTCCGCTGCGCTGTGGGAGCAGTACGGCCGGCGGGAGGCCGAGGTGCTCAGGGGGGCACGAATCTCGCTGAGGTGTTAGTAGGGAGACAGCACCACCCAAACACCAACAGTGCCGCCCCACAGAAGAAGAGTTAGACAATGAAGTCCCATCCGGGAGGCAATTCTGTTAGGGGATCCTCGTGGGCAGCGGTTACTCAGGCACACATAGGCCGTGGAGAGGGGTGGGGGGTCAGTTTCAAAAACAAAGCGAGAGAAGAAGTCTCGGGAGAGACGCTCGGAGCAGCACAGATCGCATCCCCTGGGTTAGTGCCCGCATCTCAGTTTGCGCTTGAGCAGAAGTCACGGTGCCACGGGTCGATTAGGAGGAAGAAAGCCCCGAGTGCATGCAAGGCAGCCAGGCCTACAACCTACGGGAAGAAAGAGAAGAGGGGAGAACAGAGTCAGAGGCCGAGCCCACAGAGGGGCAGGGGGAGCGGCAGAGGCCTGGCCAGGGCAGGGGGCAGGGGACCCTCTTTCCCCACAGAGGGGGAAAAAGGCATCCCCACTCCATTCCCAGCTGGGCAGCCCAGAGAGCTTGGAAGGGACCTGGCACGAAGCACCTGTCCAGAGCTCCGCCGGGACAGTCACAGAATGTTTAGACAGAGGTTGGCCAATGGGTCCACTGCCCCTCAGCCCCGGACTATCCGAAGTGACTTCCTAAAAGTTCACTGTTTTTGCTTACTGCTTTCCCTTCTTTGAAGCTCTGGCCAAAGGGCACCCTGGACTTGGGCCAATGATCTGAGATGGCTCCCACCCAGGGACGGGCCATCATCTGCCACAGTGGGTAGACGGAGGCCCTGCCACATGCTGTGGGTCTTCTCGGCCCAGCGAGAGACGCACAGGCCTGCGGGGCCCTTGGCAGTGGCCGTTTCAGCGACAGGAGTATCACTTCGGTTTATGCGAACAAAACACACAAAAACGGGGAAGCCGGACGCAGAGACAGAGCAGGAAGCAGGGTGCAAACAGGCAGAAAGACACACTGTTCCTCCAGAACCGGAAAGGAGTTCTTAAAGTCCAGGTGGCCGTAACGTCCTTTCCCGTAGTAGCGGCTCCGCCAGCGCCTGGGGGAGGGGGGCCCGCGGCCATTTTGCCAAGTGTGGGAACAGCGCAGTCCAGTGGGTGACGGGAGTCGGGCACCCGGTGCAGACGGGTGGAGGAGGAGCCCCGGGAATCAGGACGGCAGGGAGGGGAGGGACGACAGAAGGGGCCAGCGCATCCGCCACCCCCCGAAAATAAACAAAGCAGCAAGACGGATGGAAAAGAAAAGAGAAGATGAGAATTAGACACTGAATGTGTTGAAGAACAGAGCCTGAGTGGGGAGCTCGGACTGAGACTCAGGCGGGGCTGCTGGCATTCTTTCCTCCCAGGGGCTAAAACGGATGGCTTTGGGCACGGAACGATGCCCATGTGGGACTCCCGTTTCCCACCTGTGAAATGAGAAGGTGGGGCTATGTGGTCTTTAGGGAATCTGGAAGTATCTCCGGAATGCCAGACCCACCCGCTGCGGCCTTCTCTTCTGTGGCTGAGAAAACCAGCGTCCAAGACATTAAACAAGTCGCCCAAGGTCTGACAAACCAGATCCTTGAACTTTTTGCAAGTCCAGGGGAACCCCAGTCTCTTGGCCTCTGCCAGGAGAGCTCCTGCTCAAAACCCAGTTCCAGTGACCCCCCCCCCCCCCCCCCCCCCCCGCTTCTGGAGACCCTTTCTCAAGCCCCCTCGGTGGGCAGAGAGGCCCCTGCGTGTGTTCCCACAAAGGCTGTTCTCTGTCACAGCCCTTAGCGTGTTATAACCATTCCCTTCTTTATCCAATTACACTATAAACTCCTTGCTGGCCGAAACCTGGCCTTGGCCTTCAGTCTCCCCAGGTGTGTAGCAGATACCCAGCAAAGGCTGGCTACAACCCACACCTTTAATGGTCACATTAGGTTATGGAGTCTGACTCATCTTAAGAGCAAAATATCGAAACTACTGTGTCATTCTAACAGACACAGCCCTAAACTGTCATTCCTCTAGACCGTCCCTACAAACGACCTAAATCAGCAGTTCACTGCATTTCTTCACGGACTTCTGCCTGCAACCTCTGGCAGGTCGGGCGACCCTGCCAGGCCTCCCCTCCCCTGCAGCTTGAGACCCCGTCTGGCTTGTTTTCAGATGGGAGGGGCTGGCGAACTATATTGACGCCAAATCCAGCCACTAAAAGATGTGGACCACTTTGAAGCTTTGTCCAAAACAAAAACAGAAAAACCAAGAACGTATGACAGAGACCACATGACCCACAAGCCTAAAATATTTACCAGCCGCCCTTTCTAGAACCATGGACAGTACAGCTGCCACCAAACACCTGGGCAGCAGACGTGGGATCAGGTGCAGCTTCTCCAGGGGCTCAGCGACGTGGCCGCAGGTGCCCCACGAGCCGCTTGGGGGTGCGGACGAGCTTCTGCCCCACAACTAGCAAGGGCAGCTTTGCTTTATCTGTTATCATCAATGGGGACTTGGTGGGAGATCGCACTTTTAGGAAGTGCCCTTGGCCTTCAAAAAGTTTAAAACCGTTCCTGTCACTCAGGGGTCTGGTCACATAGGGCCTGCCCAACCCGTTTCTGTATAATCCATAAACTAAGAATGGTTTTTACCTTTCTGAATGGGTTGTGGGGGGTGGGAATCAAAAGAAGACTTCACAATATGGGAAAGCTGCATGAAGTTCAAGGGTGAGCGTCCCTAAATAAAGCTGTCTTAGAGCACAGCCATCCCCTGATGTAGGTGCTGGGGCTGCTCTTGCATCAGACGGCAGAGCTGAGTCCTTGTGGCGGGGACTGTATATGGTGCTGTCACAGCCTCACACTGCTGCTGGGTGCGCTACCAATCCTGGGGGCCTGCAAAGCCTAACACAGCTCCCTCCGCTAGCAGCCCGTCCCCCTTCACAAGTCGGCCAGCCTCCCTCTGGCCCAACCCCTGCTTGCTAAAGCCGTGGAAACCGAGGCCCGGCACAAGGAAGGACTTTCCCGGATTCTCACAAAGGGCTCGCAGCAGGGCAGAGGTCCGTTTCTGAGTGTTCTGGCAGAGAGGGCCAGAGGGGCACAGCACGAAGGGAACGAGACGGAATGGAGGAGTAAAGACCACCCTGTACCAAGGGGGTACAAAGGACGGTGTGATTAAACAGAAGGGAGCTGGACTTCTCGTGTCAGAGGAGCACACAAACTCAGGCCATGCCGTCCCCGTAACAGGTGGCTGATCTGGGGGCTAGAAACCGGTCTCGAGTCTGCACCCTTTTAAGTAACAGTCACTTTGCCGATTTTGGTGGTGCTGTAACACCCACGCTGCTCTGGCTTCCTGTCTGGCCCCTTCTATGGTGGAATCTTCCCCGGGCCTAGCCTGGGCCCAGTGTCAGCCCTGTTCTGATAACAGCGATGCTGGGTTTTCACAACAGAGTACCAGAGACGCTCATCTCGCAAAAGGAGTCTCTGAAACAAACAAGACCCTAGTATCACTTGGACAAGGGGACTAGTCGCCTCTGGTGAATCTGCTCTGTATATTCCCCAGATCAAAGTCGTAGGCAGACAGAGCCGACAGGGCCCTTTAAGACACCAGGTCAGGCTGCAAAAGGCCTGCTTGGCGGGTGTGGCCCACGGAGGGGGGACTTACTCAGCGGACTTCCAGAAGTGGCCGGGGTGGGAGAGCCGCCGGTTCAGCTTGGGCAGTTTCTCCAGCATGTCCATCAGCAGGGTGAAGCTGGGCCTCTCCTGCAGGTCGAAAGCCCAGCAGGCAGACAGGATCTCCTGCAAGCAGAACCGACATTAGCGGCGTGAGAGCTGGCGGGGAGCGAGGAAGGCACAGCTGGGCTACGCGGCGTAGGACCCCTTTGATGCTCTCAAGCACCACCCCCCCCTTCTGTCCGTGTCCCCTGAACATCCTGCCGATAGTAAGAAGACTGGCCATTTCTGGAGTAGTTATTTCAGAGAAATAATTGAATCTCAGAAGAGCTCATGCTTCTAGTTGAAAACAAAGGGCACGAGCTTGTCTCCCCTCTTTTCTTCTTAGACCGTCCTGGAATAACAGGAATAAAGCTGAATAAACGGGTAATAGGAAAGAGATCAGAAATGGGATTGTAGGGGCGCCTGGGTGGCTCAGTCGGTTAAGTGTCCGACTCTTGGTTTTGGCTCAGGCCATGCTCTCACGGTTTCGTGAGCTTGAGACCTGCATCAGGCTCTGTGCTGATCGTGCAGGGCCTGCTTGGGATTCTCTCTCTCCCCACTGCCCCTCCCCTACTTATGCTGTCTTGGTCTCTCTCAACATAAACACACTTAAAAAAAAAAGAAAGAAAAAAGAAAGAAAGAAACGGGGTTGTAGATTTTTCAAATGGAAAGCAGAAGAAACACAAGACGCTCAGAATAACTGTGGGGTGGGACCGCAATGGAGGCAGGAGCGACTGCAGCGTTCCAGGAATGGAGGCTGGGAGCGACCAGGATAAAACAGAGGGCAGAACTTGAGAGTTAGCAGAGCACCCTTCCCAAATGCACCCTAAGAGTGAAGGCCCTCTGACATGGGTAGTTTGCTGCCTATCTCAGGATCTGCACATCTACAGCACACCCTGCAGCCTTTCAGTTCAGCAGAGCTCCTGTGAGAAAACAGGCCTGTACACACGACCAGGCAGGAAATGCTCACTGACTTAGGCAGCTCGGGCTTCTGTTCTCAACTGAGTGTGTGTGTGTGTGTGTAGAAGCTACTCTATCCATAAAACAAGACCAAGGTGCAATAAAAAAAAAAAACACCAAAAATAAGGGAGTGCTTGAAATTAATAATACAACTTTTGAAATGAAACATTAGGAGTACTGGAAGATAAAATCCAGGAAATTCCCCAGATTGTGTACTCAATTTTAGGTAGGGAATAGAAAACATTCAAGGTCAAAGAGGATCGCCTGGGTGGCTCAGTCGGGTGAGTGTCCGACTCTTGATTTTGGCTCAGGTCATGATCCCAGGGTCATGGGATCGAGACTCACGACAGGCTCTGCACTGAACGTGCAGCCTGCTTAAGAGTCTCCCTCTCTCTCCCTCTCTCTGCTCCTCTCTCCCACTTGTACTCTCTCTCTCCCTCTCTAAAATAAAAGAAAGAAGGTAAAAGACACAGAAGCTCACCAAGGATCAAATTCTGTCTAATGGGAGTTTCCACAAGAGGAAACAAAGAAACTATAGGGCAGGAAACTATATAAAAAAGAAAAAAAACATAATAAAAGTAAATTTCCCAGCAACTTTCAAGGAAAATTGGAATCTTACTCTGAAAAGGCTCAGTGTGAAGGGACCCAACTGAAAAAAGAAAATCAAACCAAGAAATAAACTTATTCTAAGGTATATTTTAATAAAATTTCAATATAACAAGGATAAAGAGAAGATCCCAAGAGGTTCCCAGAAAGAATAAAACAGGGCATCTATAAAAGATTGAGAATTAAGATTAATATCAGATTGCTCAGCAATGCACTGGACACTTAGTAGATAGCAGAGCAAAAATGTCACATTCTTAGGCAAGGTTATTGTGAACCTCTGGTGTGAAAGTGAAGCAAGGACGTGTTGAGGCATGTACGGATTCAAAGACTCTCTTATGCATCTACTGGGAAGGAGATCCTTTAGGTTTCACTCTCATTTTGCTGGAGTGCAAATAAAGAAATGGAAAGACATGAGATACAAGAAATTCTAGTATTCACCCAGGAATGAATGAAAAGAAATGAAAAAATGACAACACTACAGTAGGCCTAAAATTCCATCATGCAAATTATAAGAAATCAGTGGGCCCTGAAAAGAATGAAACAAATTCCATTCCATAAGCAGTGTGTAGGAGATGCAAGACCTTAGGAATACGGTAAAGGTGTTTATTACCTCTCTCAATGAGGAAGAAAAGAAAGGCCATTAGAAACTACAGGAAAAACATAAAACCACACAAGAAAACCATGGTCCACACGTGAAGCCAACAAAATCGTGGTGAGCCTTTGAATAACTGATAGAATGGAAGAAAAGAGATGGACCCACAAAGAAGAAAATGTAATCCCCGTGAACTACTTAACCAGTATCTAATAGCAATTACAATCTATTATAATAGTGCACACATTGTTTATTGTCTTTTCACTTTCAGCCTCTATCTATAGATACAGGATGGAAGACTTAATCATGGCAACACAAAATTAGTCCTGATAAAACGATAAAGAGAAAGCGATGCAAGTTGAGCAGAGAAGAAGGGGCAGAGGGTCCTGGAATGAAGACCTGATGGAACAAGAAGTCAGTCTTTTGGAGAGTGACCAGAGGAAAGGGACTGCTGGTTTTCATTAAGAATCCTCTGGCCTTTTGATGTCATCCTATGCACACTAACTCACCATGGCTGCCTTAACACAGAAAGTAGTGCCTGGTGATAAACTTACAGTAGTGTGGCTGGAGGGACAGAGATAAGGTGCCCCTCCGAGGGTACTTACTACTTTTGACTATGAGTCAAAAATCACTTTTTATTGCCATTGACCAACACCCCCTCTACCCTCCAATGGCAATGTATTAAAAAAAAAAAAAAGAAAAGATCAAACAGGAAAGTCAACTTTCATGAGCCAGAAGCTGACTGCTGGAACGTTTGCTCTCTGTCCCCATTTCCCCACCCCCTGTGCCTAATCTATTCTTAAGAAGCTTCAAAGGTCACATAACCCCACGCTGCTAGAAATCCTTCCAAAACACAACTCTGGCTGTGCACTAGGAGGAGCTTTATTTAAAAATGAAAAATAAAAACAACTAATTATGATCTTAGCCCCAACCCAGGCCAATTAAATCTTTCTGTCTGGTGGAGGCCCTAGACCTGATATTTTTAAGAGCTCGCCGGCTCAGTCGGTTAAGCACCCAACTCTTGATTTCAGCTCAGGTCATGATCTCACAGTCGTGAGATCAAGCCCTGTGGCAGGCTCAGCGCTGGGCATGGAGCCTAACTGAGGCTGATTCTCTCTCTCCCTGTCTCTGCCCTTACCCTGCACATGTGTGCACATCTGTGCATGTACTCTTTCTCAAAATAAATAAACATTAAAGTAAATAAATAAAAGCTCCCAGATGATTCTGACTTGTAGCCAGCATTGAATCCTGACTCCCTTGTAGTCCTCTGGTGGGCTCTGCACTCTGTTCCAGGCCCTCACCCACCACTCTGCTCTAAGACTCTAAGTGTGTAGAAATATAATTGTGATTGTTGCTAAGAAGGCAACGAAGGCTATTTTTTCCTTCTGATAAAACATACATGCACGCATACTCTGACTTATACAAAGTGTCCTTAATAACTTTATTGTAAAGTTATTAGAAATTGGAAATAACCTAAATGTCCAACAACAGAGAAGTAGGTACATTATGGCGTAAGCCATGGGACAGGAGGGTAGACAGACTTAAAGGGATTTGTCAGTGACTTAAAAATAATAAAAAATAAAAGGTCGTGTGGAAAAAAGATCATGATTAAGAAAAAATTAGCTATGTGTTAGGAGCTTGATCTTGCTAAAGGTATGTATTTAAAAAAAATTTGGGGGGGGTTGGGCACCGGGGTGGCTCAGTCGGTTGCGCATCCGACTTGGGCTCAGGTCATGATCTCGCGGTTTGTGAGTTCAAGCCCCACATCCGGATCGCTGCTGTCAGCCTGTCACCGCAGAGCCCATTTCGGATTCTCTGTCCCTTTCTCTCTGCCCCTCCCCTGCTTGCACTCTCTTCCAAATAAATAAGTATTTTTAAAAAAAGAACTTAAAGGAATTTTTTTAAGACTGTAGGGTAGTAGCTGCTGTAGCTGCTCTCTGAACTACCCAGCAGCCAGGAGCCCGGACCCCTCCTACCACTACCCTGCTAAGGTGTCCAAGGCCATGTCATGGGAAAGGTGGTTCTGCCTGAGGAGCTGGCCAAGCACTCATCACCCACTCACCCTGCCTGACACCCCAGCGAGGTGGTATCAGTTGGCCAAAGAGGAGCCTGGTGTCGGTGCTGTAGATTAGCATTTTGGTGTCATTCCTTTTTTTTTATGTGTATTTATTTTTGAGAGAGAAAGAAACAGAGGGCGAGTGGGGGAGGGGCAGAGAGACAGAGAGAGAGAGAGAGAGAGAGAGAGAGAGAGAGAGAGAGAGACACACACACACACAGAATCCTCCAGGATCCGAGCTGTCAGCACACAGCCTGATGCGGGGTTTGAACCCACGAACTGTGAGATTATGACCTGAGCCGAAGTCGGAGGCTTAACCAACTGCGCCCCCATTTTGGTGTCATTCTTGGAGGGGCGTCCCTGTACAAATAGTTTGCACTTCAACCAGATGGCCTGTACTCCTGAGGAAATAAAGTACACCAAGCACAATGTCAAGCGAGTATGCCAAAGATGCCCTACCAACTTGCTACCGGTCCAAGGAGGAAAATACTAAGATCTGTTAAGATCTTGAAAGAAGGGGCACCTGGGTGGCTCCATCAGTTAAGCATCTGACTTCGGCTCAGGTCATGATCCCACGGTTCGTGGGTTTGAGCCCCACGTCGGGCTCTGTGCTGACAGCTCAGAACCTGGATGGAGCCTGCTTCAGATTCTGTGTCTCCCTCTCTCTCTGCCCCTCCCCTGCTCACACTCTGTCTCTGCCTCTCTCTCAAAAACAAACATTAAACAAAATTTTTTTTTTAAGATCTTCAAGGAAGATTAGGTTGCATTTCTCACTCTGCCTGTCCCAGTTTGCAGATGGGGATTCTGCCAACACTATCCAGGACTTCAACAAGAAGGTCACAGCCTAGTTAGATCTCAACCCAGACCAGCATGAGGTGGTCCTCCAATGTTATGCCACCCAGATACCTACTGGAGCTTATTAACATCCAGGCTGGCACCTATCTGCTCAAAACGTTGAGCCCTGGGTTCCTTTATGTGTCATTATGCCAGGGCGAGGAAACTTACAAAATGCAACGCAGAGAAACCATTAGAGGTATTCAGAAACACGAGATCAGCACCTGATTTGGCACTGTAGCAACCCAAATACGCTGTGGAAACTTCGATTTGTTCTTTAACAGTTGAGAAGAACACTTTAGAGAAAGATCCGATACCATGGTAACCCCCCATCCATTTGTGCTCTGTGCATCCATCACCTTCTTTCATGTAAGTAACAGATGGGGTTTTACTATCTTTTCAACTCACAATTCAGTTAAAAGCATTACCTTTATTTTTATTTCTTTCCAGTCTTTTTTTTTTTTTTTTAACATTTATTTTTGAGCAACAGAGGGAGACAGAGTGCAAGCCAGGGAGGGGCAGAGAGGGAGGGAGACACAGAATCCGAAGCAGGCTCCAGGTTCCGAGCTGTCAGCCCAGAGCCCGACACGGGGCTCGAATCCACGAACCGTGAGATCCTGACCTGAGCTGAAGTCTGATGCTTAACTGACTGAGCCACCCAGATGCCTCCCACCCCCCCGTCCCCCGCCACCACCATTTTTTTTAAAGACCATGGTTTTGTATAAAGAAAAACAGTTGGGTAATAAAGGACACAGACCTTTTAGCCAGCAGCAAAGAGGCCTGCCCAGCATACTTCTGCCTCCTGGTGGGTCCCCTTTCTCAGGTGAGTAAATGAAGAAGGGTACACCTGCTGTGTGCCCAGCCTCCCTCCCTCTAGCCCTCCGTCCCTAAGAACAGGGGGCTACTCACAGTGACTTCCTTCCCCAGGCTGACGGAGGCCAGGACGCGCTTCATTCCCTCTCCACTTCCAATCTGCCAGATCAAGGCCTCTGCAGCTTGGTTCTTAAAGGGCCAGTCTCTTGCTTGAAGTTCATACCAAACAGTCCTGTGGGGACCACCCATGCAGCGTGAGCTCCTGAACCGCTCGGCCCAGCTCATGCCCAGGGGAAGGGGGGCAGGGGGTTCCTGCTGCCACAGTGCGAGGAACCCAGCCAGAGCATCCGGGATCCTCCTCCAGCTTTCCCCACCCACCAGGCTCCCAGAGATACCATGACAGCATCCCAGCAGCTCCTTCCAGTCACAAGGGGACCCGTGGCCCTACACATCTGTTGTGATGGAAGGTCTGAGGCTGCATAGGCTCCAAACAGATATCCTGGTACAAATGTCTAGCCTCAGTGGGGCTGATGCCTACGTCCAAGGTTGGCTGAGGAGTAACGAAGGCCAAGCCCAGCGCCTGGCACGCACACAGGTGCTCAGGAAGTAAGAGTTCAAGGTAAGGAGAGGAAGGAACTACCCTCAGGGGAAAGGACACCCAGAGACGACAGGGTGAGGCCCTCACTCAGCCTCTCCAAGCTCCCTCACCTTTCCTGACTCATCTTGACCTTCTCCGTTAGACCCCCACTGTTCAGTGCAGGGGCCACTAGCCATGGGGGGCTATCGAGCAACTGAAATGTGGAGAGTGGACCTGAGATGTGCTGCAGGTGCAAAGTACTCTCCAAAGTTTGGAAACTTCGTTGGGTAAAATAGCTCCTTAATTTTTAAATTTTGATTACATGTTGAAATGATAATATTTTGGATAATATTGAGCTAAACACATTATCAAAACAGGTTTTATCTATTTTTCTTTTTTTTTTTTTTAGCATGGCTAAGAGAAAACTTTAAATTCTGTATCTGGCTCACGTTATGTGTCTATATTTTTATTTTTCTCTTGGTTAGCTTCATGGGGGCACTAGAGGCCGGCTGGCAGGACCCCCTGGTTCTCCCAGAGGGACAATTCTTAGCTCTGGTCAGCATCTCCACGGGGCACTGGGTGAGACAGACACCCAGAAATTACCTTAGTCCTCATGAAACCTTAGAGGAGGTACCATTATTCTTCCCATTTTACAGCTGAGGAAAAAGAGAAGGTCAAGGATGTGGTTCCTTAGCCAACAAGCGGCAGAATCAGGACTTGAAGCATGACATCACCCCCTCCTTGCCCCCAAGGTCAGCCGTGCCCTTTCTTTCGGTCACTCTTGGCCTCAGAGCCCCAAAAGAGGGGGACGCGTGGGTCCTCCTCACCCAAATGCATAGACGTCAGCAGCTTTGGAGAACGGCAGCTGGTCCTCGTCCTTCCCGGGGGTCATCTCGCGGACAATCTCCGGGGCCAAGTAGCACAGCCAGTCATGTGACAGCTTCAGCTGGTTCTCACGCCTGGAGGCCAAGAAGCCAGAACGAGGGCATGGGAGCCTTTCAGCCAGCAGCAAAGAGGCAGCCCGGCCCACGGGTGCCCCAGGGCCAGCACCCCACCCATGCGTGGCCCCGAAAACAGCACACTGATCCTGCACTTGGCCAAGGCACCGGTGCTTTGGGGGGACGTTACAGAAGAGGGATAACCCGGTTTTTCTAGGAAAGCAGGTATTAGCAGGGAGCTGATTGATTCTCCAGCCTGGTACTGGGCTGATGCTCTTCCTCGTACTGGGGACGTGAACCCTCGTCCCCTGTCCAAGTCAGTGAGCAAATAGGTCACGTGTGAGCAAGGGGACCCAGCCTCCATGGGGTCAGCCTGAGAATGAAGCGCCACGTATGAGGGACCCAAACGTCACCCATGCCTGACTCGGGACCAGAACCCTAAGGACAGGACCTAAGCAAACCTGGCCTTTCCTGTAGGGAGGGCAGCTCCTCAGCAACAGATAGCAAGTGCCCAGACCTCAGCTGCACCTCGGAGCCTGGCCGGCACCACCCAGTTCCTCCCCGTTCCGTCCAGACGCCCAAGGCCAACTCACCGTCCCTCTCGGACCACGCCCGAGATCCCAAACAGCCCGAAGTCTGTGATGACCACTTTGCCGTTGTCATAGAAGACGTTCTTGGATTTGAGATCTTTGTGCACAATGCCCTTGGCATGTAGATATCCCATGCCCTGGAAAACAGCGAGCCTCACGTTGGCGGGGCGGGAAGACAAGTGACAAGGATTCACCTTGGGCTGCCCACCTGGGCTGGGCAGTGAGCTGGACACCCTCCCCACGTCCCCTCATGGGATCTTCAAAATCCTATGCGGTCGAATTATCTCCATTTTACAGATGAGGAAACCGAGCCTCAGAGAGGGGAAGTCACTTGCCCCAGGCCACACAGCAGTTAAGCAGCATTGCTGAGGCCTGGTTCAGGCTAGTCCGTGGTACTGTGCTGTCCAACGGGCACTGTATGCTTAGCTAAGGTGTGGAGAGGGTGGCGGGTGGGGAGCTGGGGGGTCAGGAAGTGTATAAAGAGCCGTGATACCCCCCACGTTAAGTCATACAGCAATCGGGTGATCTATAGGGTCTCTATCAGGCTTCACACCAACTGGCCTCTACCCGTAAGCTAGGCAAGAGATGAATTCCCAGAGAGGGGGCTCCCAAATTCAGGTGGTCCCAGTGTCTGTCTGGGACACAGGCCACCTGACGCAGGCACGCTCTCACCCAAGGTCCAACTGTCTTCTGACACGAAACTCAGGACTCCCGCCTACTCCCCCGATGCCCTCCAGAACAGGGGCAGCTGCCACCGCTGAAGTGGCCATCCCGCCAACTCAGAAAGAGGCGCACGTAAGGCCACCTCCCAACCGCCCACGTGGAGGACGCCTCCCACATTATGAGAGTCCTTCTGGCTTTAAAGCTACTTGGGGTGGGAAATGGAAAAGTAAACAGACCACATTTAGGGAACAGAAAGAACGAGCCGCGACACAGAAGCCAGCTGAGGCCAGAGCTCGGTCCGAGGGGGTCTGGAGAGCATCAGAGAAGAATTTACACGAGGCCGGAGATGGGGAGGGTGTGGGGTCTGTGGTAGCACCCCCCACCGCCTCCCAAGGCTTACAGGAGAGCTCTCACCCACGCTGTGCAAGCAGAGAGCCCCAGGAAAGACTGACTTGCTCCTTCCCCAAAGTCCATCCTGAATGCAAGAGGGTCATTCCTAGACTATCTGCCCATTTCCCAAACCCAACCAAGGCACAAGCCTTCCTCAGGGACCAAAGACACCACCCGGGGCCAAACAGGGACCAGCTACATGACCGAGGACGAGTGGCTGTGCCACTCTGAGCCTTGTGTACAGAAGAGGTGCCACAGGCTCGAAGGCCAGCTTCAAGAGATGAGATTTAGGTGCCCAGGTCTACAAGGCACCCGGGTGGCTCAGTCAGTTAAGCGTCCAACTTTGGCTCAGGTCACGATCTCGTGGTTTGTGGGTTCGAGCCCCGTGTCGGGCTCTGTGCGGACAGCTCGGAACCTGGAGCCTGCTTCGGATTCTGTGTCTCCCTCTCTCTCTGCCTCTCCCCCACTTGCACATTCTCTCAAAAATAAATAAACATTAAAAAATTTTTTTCAAGTAAAATAAAA